TCGAATGATGAAGAAAAGATGGAGGAAAAAGATCAAGACTCCGATGGATCGTTGTCGAGGAATGGATCAACTGCTAGATTGACTCAGGTATGAAATGAATAAGAAATTCATTTACCGGTTAGCCAAGCTGGTTTTGAAGTTTTTTTTCTGACATTGTTTTGCCCAAAATCTCACTCTTAAATAAAATACTTTAATCAACCGAAATTTCATTTTCTAATACCTAAACATTGAGGATTTTTTAAAGTTAAATAATTAATAACAGAAAATAACATAAGGATTGTCTGCTAAATCTTATTGAGACTATATGCTAAGCTGTCTAAAAGGTAGACATTGGCACTCCAAACTACAAACACCCAGCCTTGCTCAAACTCTGCCGCATTAACTTGTGCTTATAGCTCAAAATATAGAGAATCCCAAGAGCTTTTGAATGAAGTAAAGCACATCTAAAAATATCAATTCTAAAGGAAGTTACAGTGGTTTGTAGTCCTGACTCGAAACGCTAGTTCCGACTAGGGTCTGTTTGTAGTCCTAGCGGACTACAAACCACTGTAACCTTCTTTAGCATTGATATTTTTGAATGTGCTTTAGCTCATTCGAAAGCTCTTGAGATTCTCTATCTTTTGAGTTATAGATCAAGCCAATCCGGCAGAGTTTGAAGCAAGTTAGAAGCATTTGGAGTGTGATAGTTCGTCATTTTTTGTAGTTTATAGTGTCCATGTCTGGTATTCAGTAAGGAAAACTGAATAGGAAGCTGGAAAAAGCTTTTTCAAAGCATCAAACGAATCAATTTTCAGAAGGACGAACCGGAGCCTCACCACCTGGCTCGTCAAACTCTTCACGATGCTTAAACTCTCCACCCAAATTTTCTCTCGTCTATCATTGGCTCCATTTTTTCTGCAAACACAACTTCTTGATCTCGTAGTTTTCTTATCACAAAAATCTTTAGGATCGACAGCAGATTTGCATTTATAGTGATCGACCAAACCAGGTGTAGCATCTTCTTTACTATTAATGGTCAGCTGAATATCTTTTGAGGTGAAAAACGAACGAACTTCTGTCACTTGAAAAGTGCTCATTGAATACAAAATATGAACCCTTATAGTAAGAAATATGTGGATGTACTCAGCTAAAGTAATAGGTTCATTAGTAATGCAATAACTAGAATAACTCAATTTCATTAGATTGTGAAAGTGAAGGATATTTAGTTATTCAGCTTCCATGTCCAAATTCAATCATTCAAGGGTTTCTTGTAATTTTTGTTTGTTTTTCCTTTTCAACGCCCATTTCTCTCACATAAATCACTTCTTTTTGAAGTTTTTTCATTGAGATTTGTTTTTCTTTTGAAATTTCTGTTCACAATTCTGTCAAATCATGACCTAATCTGACACGTGTAATCTGGACACAAATTGGTTTTTTCCTTGTGCCAATTTTGAGTTTTACTTTTAAATGTTTGATGAATAAATATTTGGTTTCAAAATAGGAATTGATAATTTTAAATAGCAAACACAAATTTTTTGAATTATTAAGCTGTCTAGAAAGTCTTTTCGTTTCGTTTCGTACTTTCGTTGAAAAATAACAAATTCACCAATTAACTTATGGCATTCTTTAAATAAAAGTGTTTATTGTTCAATTTCTCATCTTTTTAAGTCAATTTGAGTTCACTTTTACAGATAAATTCGAGAATGAAAACGTATTTTCGTAAAAAATCTATAAAAACCTCTACGAAGAAATTGGCTGAATGAATTTCTCTGAAAATTTGGCTATACACCAAACTTTTTGTGTTCTATCTTTTACCTATTGACAAGAAGATAGGTTTCTTTAGCTAAAGTTTGTCTAAATCGCATCATCGAGCAAGCTTTTGACTACCCGACTTCAAGGTTCCGAAAAATCTAGACATAAAACATTTTAAACAGTTTAATGTTAACTTGCAGAAAAATAGTTGACTTTTCTATTGGAACAAACCGTAGTTCAATTGGTTTGTTGGTTTTAAACGGAGATACGAAAAGAAACAAAAGACTTATGCACCAACCTAATAACCAATCAACCAAATTTACTGACTAGTGAACTTTACCGAGCACTGGCAACGGAGTGAAATTGTCCCGATTACCGTAGTCGCATTATTTAGATGTTACCGCAGCCCACTAAGGACTAGAGTAACATTAGCAGTACGTAGATGATTTGAATTTGATTATTCGCGAGTCTAACTATTTGTAAGTATCGTATCTAAACGGCACTTAAGTACAGTATTTCTTGCGGATCTATCTACCTTGCCTCGCCGATATTTCTTCAGCGGCCCATGAGCGACCAAAAATTCAACATTTTTCACGAAAAGCTCCTCACTTGTGAATAGTCGACTCTGGATCATTTTAGAGGCTTCATCGGCTCGTTTTTGGATCTAAATGCCATCTCAGCTCAGTTCAGGATCTATTTGACTAACTTCTTTGTGTCAAGCACTTCTCGAATCGCTTCAGCCAAAGCACCCTTGTCATCGAGCTTTATCTTCTCGAAGCTGAAATTAAAAGTGAATTAATTTTTAATTTTAATAATTTTAATAATTTAATAATTATTTTGCTGAAAAATAATTGATCTTTCTAATGAAACAGACCGTAATTCAATTGGTTTGTTGGTTTTAGACGGAAATGCGAAAAGGAACGAAAAGACTTTCTCGACACACTAACACGAAAAAGATTAATACGTTGAAATTTTTCATTTCAGAAGTCAAGTGAAATTGAAAATTTCTCCGAATTGAAAATTTGACTTGACAAATAAAATTTTCAAGCTTTAAAGCACTGTACAGACAAACATTTCAAATTTCATGGAAGTTTACAGGTCGTTTTTGATTTAAAAGTTCAAGATGACTGTATAACTTTGAACTTTCAAAGTCGAAAGTCGCTCAAAAACATGTTTTTCTTTTCCTTTTAGTTTCTTCAGCTAGCAATCCGTTGTGGAACCTGGAAAACGAGCGAAAATAGAACATCTTTCCAGCAGCGATTTATCAAAAACGAGACAATGACTCTCTTTTCTTTGACTTTTTTGGTGATGTTGATGATTATGGGGAGACATCATGTGAAAAGCATATGTGGAAAACCCCCAAGTGACCATTGAGACAAAAGTGTTTAGACCTAACAAAAAATGACTGTTTGAGGCGCTTGGCGAAAGACAAAACGTCTTTGAGGAAAAAGAATTCGACAAGAAGGGGTTATAAAACTATAGACGAAGTGCACTTTGGCATTTGTTAATAATTTAATTCAATTTATTGTATTCTTGTAACGTTTTCTGAATCAAGTTTTTAGGTTTACAATGTATTTTACTTCAATAACCTAGAGAAACTACAATAACTTTTTGCGTTCTTTTTTGCGTATCTTCCATCAAGCAAATAATTTGTTGCAAAACTGTGCTAAAGTGTACGTTGAGGTTTAAATTTCTTTAGCAGAACTTACAGATTAATCTATTTTATCGCATTTTTGTACACGCTTTTACAAACTGTTCACTCTGTCGCTGTGTTTGCTAATTTTAGACTAACAATCCTTGTCTGGTTTGAAGTTCTAACTATTTTATAGGTGTCCAATACTTATGGGGACCAGTAGATTAGGTTTAGAGCTCATTTTGTACAAGTTTAATGCTAGAAAGGAAACACACTTATCAAACATTTAACAACTTTAAGTTACTTTTTCAAAATTATTGCCTTTTGCGCTGTTGTTTGCCTGGCAACACCTGTGGAGGTCGGATAAATTGAGTTTATCACAAGCTCTTGTTAGCATTCCTGGAAGAATCAAAACTGAAATTTGATTCTAATATTTTTAATGTCCCGTAAATTCGAAAACTGTTAAATAGTACAGACTTTCTCATCGTTAAACAAGAACAACTGGGTGAAATTTGGTGATCGAGTTCCGATGAATCGATTTTCGAATTATCTAGAAAGTCTATAATCTAGAAAGTCGAGTTTGTTTGACCTCCTATGCGCCTTTTTTGACGTTTTTTCATAAACCAACTTTGAGAGTGTCAAACGACCTGCGACCTCAAAAGTCCCCAAAAATATGAAACCAAAAATATGAAAATATGAAGCCATTTCCCACTCTCTCATAATCAAACCCTTAGAAAACCTTGGATTTTCGATATTTCCACGTCAACCATTCAGTTCTTTTGCTAATCATAACAAACTTGCAATTCACGTGCGCAAAAAAGACGTTGAAGGTCTAGATTTTGTGAAAGAATTGGCTGAATGGATCACTTTTTTTTTGAGAAGGACTCGAATTGTTTCATTCGTCTCGACACTAGAGAGAATAGCACCGCCCTTTTCACTTATCATTTAGAGTGGAGAGCTAGGCTACATTTTGTTCTAAAAGAAATACTGTAAAACTGTAAGGTTCCAGTGCTATTTTAACCACAGCATCGCTTAAATTTGCTTACCATTATCTAGTGGAAAGCATTTTATTCTAGACACTGTAGAGCTCAAGTGCTATATTTAGCTACAGTATGGCAAAAAGTGTTCGGCAAAAGACTGAATACTTAAAATTCTTTTGAATTGAATCTTGAAGCTTGCTACCTAAATACTTTTACTTTAACTGTCATAGTGAGACAAGAAATTAACTCTTTACAATACTTTACGCTAACAGTACTTAACAGTAGTGAGTAAATGAAAATAGTCTCATTATCAGTGCAAACTTACTGTTTTCAAAATCTTGAGCGTCCAATTTCTAAACTCCACACATGTTACAGTCTAAATAAATATTTCTTCTCTTTTTTTTATTTTAACTAGGCTTGTAAGCAGAAAAAAGTGGAAAATTTAAAGATCTTTTGATTTCCAAAGTAAAACCAAACGAACGAAATGAGTCGCGGCGTAGCTGCCCCAGCGACGGAAAAAGCGGAAAAACGTAGCTACCCCATTTGTTGACTTTTTCTTTGAAAATTAAAAGATATTCAATTCTTTTTTTCTGCCTGCAAGCCTGATTTTAACCATTTCAGTTACCATTTAAGGATGGCTTTTGAGATCTTCACGCATGGTTTCTCATTTCTCAACCTCCTCTCGATCCTCGCTTTCTTCACAACAGTTGCACTGTTCTTTTTGTGGAATGTGAGTTCAATCGATTATCTTAAACCTGAAAAATAAAGCTTTAAATATTATTTTCAGCTTTAAAGATAATTTAAATTTTAGTCCAATTTGTCGACAAATCTGGAAACGGGGAGACACCAAGGAGATCGCCGCCGCACCGTTTCTCATGGGGATTTTGGGGTAAACAAAGAAAATCTTTAAGAAAAACTGACAAAAAAATACAGTAATCCTGATTCTATAGAGCTTAATACAATAGTTTTCAAGCTGAATACCTTTTTTATTCAGTGGCACCTGTTGGCTTTGGTATGGTTGGTTGAAAGGCGACAATACGGTGATTGGTCGTCACGTCGACTCAAGTTTTCTCTACTTCTCCTACTCGATATTTTATTGGTTCATGACAAGAAATAAGGTGTGAAAACAAGTTTGGCTTTTCTAAATCTAAATATCTAAATAGAATATCTAAATATCTATCTAAATCTTTAATAGATACAAATTCAAAATTCAGTTTTGGATTACCATAAAATTTCTCCTAATTCTTTGTCTTTGTGGAACGATCAGGCGGCTTCAAGCGTATCATTTCAAGGAAAAGGTCAGTAAATTTACTATTAAATAACAAGGTTTGTATAAGATTATAGTAAAATATAGGTTTATATCTTTTTGAAAATAAGCATTATTAGCTATTTTTCGAAAATTTTCAGGTTTTTCACCCGCTCGGTTTCCTCTGTATGACGCTAAACGCGGCCGACTTTGCGGCACCCTAGCCGGGCTGGTAAGTTTCCAAAATATTTAAGAACTTTAAAACTAATTTGTAAAAATATTATATACAAAAAGATATCAAATTTCTAATGTAAACCGTTTCTAAAGTGTGTCTTCTAACTAGAACATCTCCCCTTTGCCCCTTCAAATACCCACTTTCTATTCAAGAAATCCCGTCATCTTAAGCAATAAGCGTAAAGGGTCGATCTATTCCGATCTGCCAAGTTGAACGACATCGGCTTCGGCTAGTGGCTGGTTCGGCTTTTTACATTTTTTAAACTAAAACTGCATTGGAGAACAAAACGAATTGGCTAAATAGATTTCTGAAATAGATTTCCCCTTTGTGGTAAATTAGTGGAAACATACAGTGGTATATTGTCTCTCCGTATTGTCATCTTCGAAACGGAGAAGAGGTTTTGAATCACACTGACTTTGAGTCCGGCTTTTCGAGCTTCAACGATTCGCTTCTTTGTGGGACTGTCGATGTATTCTCTCGGCATCTCTAAAAAGAAACAGTATTATAAAAATCAACAAATCTCTAACGTAACAAAAACAGGAGAAAAAGAGAAAAGGTATCAAGACTTTTTTTTACTTTGTTTTGGCCTTTTTTTATTTTTCGTAAATAAATAGTTTTTGTAAAGAGTATATTTTACGTTAATTATAAGTTTCTAACTTTGTCTTATTTAATGAAACAAAAACGAGCTGAATCCAATATTTTTGGATTCAGCTCGTTTGGATTCAGCTCCAATACTCAATTTCCTAATTTTTTGGAAGGTATCAAGACTTTTTGACCACTGTATTTTTCTCACTAATTTACACCAAAGGGAAAATCTATTTCAAACTATTTAGGCCATCCTATTTAATCTATATTTATATCTGACTTTTTAATTATAAATGTTTATCTTAAAATCAGTGAAAAAACAATGAGCCGATTTCCCGGGTCTGGATCGGATGCTTCGCTCAGTTCTGACGTGTAAGTAAGCTGCTTTATATCAAACGATCAACAAGTTAATAAAAGTGAAGCCAATAGGCTTACGGTAGCTACGAACACCTTTTTAGAAAATACTTTAAATAAGAACCGGACTGAGTTCCTAAAAAATCGTTTTCTAAAGCTTGCCCTATGATTGTAAAGAAAGCTTACAATTTACGACTGTAGCCGGCTGCTTTTAATCTTGTGGATAAAAGTTAATTTGAAAGAAAATCAACTTACAGTAGCTAAAAGCACTTTTTAAGAAACACTTCAAATTAAAATACTATCTAATTTAAACCAGAATGTGGTGATCCGTCGCGGCGCCACGTCGACTCTTCCCCTTCCGCTTTGCATCGCGAACTTTTTGGTCTCCACCGAGTGGTTCTTGTATGGATTTCTGAAAATGGATTTCTATTTGATTGTAGGTTTTTTTTTGAATTCTTGATTGACTTTACTTTAGACTCCAAATGGAATCGGCTCAATTCTAGCCTTTTTCACAGCTCGTTCTGTTTCTCGTTTTACCACGAAAACCCGGGCAGAAAAGCCCGATTCGGCGACTCGTCACCTCGTGTCGGAAGAATGGAGTTAAGGATTTGGAGCAGGCTGAAGCTGGTGGGTATTGATTTCATTGATACCCGTCGTTATTGGAATCAAAATCATTGCCGGACACAGTTGTTGAAAAAGTCTCCCCCATTGGGCATTGAGGGTTTTTTGAGAGAAAAGACCGAGAAACGTCATGGCCGATTCGAGTGATCTCGAGGTCTCGAGAATGAGCTGGACAATGTGATCAGTCGAGTGGCGGCCAGAGAACAGTAAAACTAAAAATTATTGAACTTGAAACTCTGATTGAACTAAAATCATGCTAAATTTTCATCCTTTCAGATTTGCTTACACAAAAGGAATGGTTGAGCAAGAGGAGACTCAATCGGAAGAGGGACAACGAAGAAAATTTGAAACCAAATCTTGAAACAAAAACTTCCGAATAGAAGAAATACTTTGATTTTCTCGAATGAGGTTTTCCCAAAGCTCACGAGATCCATTTCAAGTCCGAATTTGAGCTTTTAAAGATATAAGATACCGTAAAGATCCAGTCCAAAGAATACTTTTAACATTAAGTGTTAGCTGAAGAATTTGAAGTCATTCAGTCTATTCTCTTCACAAGATTCGGCTTGTACCTTGTGCCCTAATAAACGCAAGCTCTCTGGCACATTAATCCCGCATTTCCTAATGTATATTGAGACCTTAGAAAAGCGGGAGAAATCGGGTGCGCCAGAAAGTACTTGTCAAGATTTTTACAAAAATGAGCACAAGGTATAGGTTCAAATATCAGCCTCCTGGCTTTAGGTACTTGAAAGTTTGATCCATTAGATCAAACTTAGATCAACTTGTCCATTAGATCAAACTCGAAACTTTCTTACTCTTGACACAGATTCTATTCTTTGTGATAACCTGTAAATATTAGCACCCTTTATGTTTTTTTTCAATGACCGATCTCTCAATTGGAGATCAATGTTTTCGTCTGTCTATTCCCCTTCCCCTCAACGATATTCACTCAAAATCGAGAGATGAAACGGGTTTTGTTCTCCATTTTTTCCAATCTGATGATTGTTTTGATATTTCTCACCAAAGCGATAAAGTGATTGAAAAACGAGTTTTTGAAAAAAAGGCTGTTTGCTTTTCAAATAACACTCAGATAGGCATTTGCAACCAGAGAAAATCTTACCTCTAAAGCTTTTTGGTAAAGAGATTTTAAAAGCCAAAGAGTTTTTTCCAAAGTTAAACTTGGAAACAAAGACTACAAGTTTGTTTGAAGGTTTAAATAGATTTAAACAGATTATCTCACAGATTGGCCTCGAGTTACAAGCTAAAGAAATCTTTAGGTGCATTGTAAACAAAAAAAGCTGTTTTTAACGAACTTTTTACTCCCAGAAAACAAACTTTAAGAAATATTTTGGAAGCTAAACTATTCTTCAGTAAAGTAACCCTTGAATTTTATTCCCAAGATTCGACAATATAGATTATTATTTGATTTGAGTTTAGCGCTTCCTATCGTTTGAGTTAATGTTTTCCTAATCGGAATTTGTTTGTTTTGCTCGATTTTGATGAAACTATCACAATTATTTATTTGACTAGTGAGGGACTAGTGTTCAAAAAGAAAAAGAAAACAAATCTTTTTTACAAAATCAGTACGAAATCAGTACGAAGAGACGGGGGCGGCAGCCGCTGGGACAACAGGAGGCGATGGAGGGGCAGCAGCCTGGAAATTGAAGTTCATAGGGAAATTTATCAAATACAGTCATTTGAATACGTTTTTTCGATTTTCATATTAAATACAATAACCCTGGGTCAGCATTTTTCTTGAAAAGTTTTAAAAGAACTGCGCACTTTTGAGTACTTTACTGTAGGAATTGATTGGGGTTTTTAAAAGTCAGTTTTTCGTTTCGGTCTAGTTCTGTTCTTTAGTTTACTTTTAGAAAACTATTCACAATTCTAAGCTTAAATTTATTTATTAGCTTGGTAAATATGAAAGGTTATTTTTTACAAAAATATTGCCCTGTCGTTACATGAAGAACATTCCCTGTCTAGGATTTTTCTCAATAATATGTCAAAATGTGCCTCATGTTTTTTGCAAAAACATTTTTGTTTTGAAGCAATATTTGTGTATTGTTTCAGCTCAGCAAAGATGGATAACCAAAAATTTAAAATCAGGGCCGCCATTTTCTTTGAATTCAAGTTAAACAAGAAAGCTACGGAATGCCATCATCAGAACATTTGTACTGTTTTTGGGGCTTCTCTTACTTACAAAACAATGTTGTGTTTGGTACGGTCGCTTCAAAACGGGAAACGAGTCATTGGAAGACGCACCACATGGAAAGCCGCCGATTACTTTGGACGATCAGCTGTTACTGAACGAGGTCGACTTGGATCCATCGCAAAAGTGTAGAAAATTAGCAGAAAAGTTCGGATGCACTCATGTTACCATTTACACGTTCTTGGGAAATCATATCGAAGCGGGAAATGGCTCCCCCACGCTCACTGATGCCCACAAAGTCACACGAGTCACCTTGAGCTCTGTTCTTCTACGTAAAGCTAGCCATCTTTGACTTTTGGAAGTATTTTTTGACATCTGATGAGACTTGGCTTTCGTATGAAAATATTCAACTCTATGGAGAGTGGCTGAGTTCGAAGCGGACCTCTCATTCTATCCCGAAGCCTCCGAAAAAGTTATGCTTTGTGTGTGGTGGAATGCTAAGGGATTGGCTCATTTGGAAATATTAGATAAAGGAGACACTGTTGACGGAAGACTTTATGCAGAACAAATGGGTCGAGTCGATCCAGCATTGAGGGAAAAGAGGATCGATCCATCGAAGGTCAGATTTCTTCACGACAATGCTAGGGCCTCACATTTCAAAGATCGTCCACGAACAAATCGACAAGTTGAGCTGGAAACTTCTTCCACACCCACCATACAGTCCTGATCTAGCCCCATCGGATTACCATCTCTTTCGGTCAATGAAACAAGCAGTTTTCTGGACAGCAGTTCAAACAAAAGCAGGACATCGAAAATTGGGTTGCCAACTATTTTGCCTCTCAAAATCTTTAATTTTACGAGGACGGTATTCGTGATTTGGAGCAACGTTGGAAAGAAGTTATTAATGCTTGTGGTGAATACATTTGATTTTGATAAATTGGGTTTTGATAAATTTTGATAAATTAAATAAATTTTTCTGTTATGTTAAAAATGATCAAAAAAATAACCTTTCATATTTACCAAGCTAATATATAAAATACAGCAATACTGGGGTCAACCTTTTTGTTGGAAAGTCTTAAAAGAATTTGATAATTGATATTTTTCAAAATTTTCCAGTTAAACAAACCTGTTGATTGTAGGTGGATTGGTCGTAGGTGGGCTGTTGATATTGTGGCTGATAGACGGGTGGCGATTGGGCAACCGGCTGGAACAAAAATGAAATTTGAAAATTGATTGATAACTGCTTTCTGCTAAAAAACTAGTTCGACAGTTTCGGTAGTTTCAGCTTTCAAGAAAAGTCTTAACTATTAGAAAGTAAGCAATCGCTCTATACCTGCACATAGGTGGGCTGTTGGTAGACGGGAGCTGGTGGAGCCTGAGCTGGTGGCTGAAATTTAGAGAATGAGAGTAAAATCTTTGCACAATTTAAAACGACAGTACTCCTCCAGGCATACTATAGCTTGATAGCAGACTGAGATACAATATTTTTAAGCCAAAACTGTCTATAATCGTAAGCTAGAGACTCCAAAAGTGCTAATTTGCATTCAATCTATTCATTTGAAGTTCATATTTGATAGTTTAGAGATTTAGCGAATCAGGGTAGAAAAGTGGATACCTGATATTGTGGTGGTGCGTACTGGGGTGGGCTGTACTGTGGTGGCGAGTATTGTGGTGGAGAGTACTGTGGCTGAGAGTACTGTGGCTGAGAGTATTGCGGAATTGGGATCTGGATGTTGCCGATCTGGGTCGGAGCCTGAAAAATGATTGATTTTAAGAGGACTGTAAAATATTCTAAAATTAGAATCAGCATTGTTCGAATTCGATAACTTTTTGAATCAAATGAGCCAACCTGTGGAGTGTAGTGGCGTCGTAGGGGCTGCACAAGCACTTCACGTTCTTGAACCACTGAAAAGGTCAAGGTTTTAATTGACAAGTTTTATAATCCTCATGGCTTTCAGTTATTCTATTTTCGCACAATCTTTGGCTAAGTTCAGTATGAGTACGATAGAAAGATAGAAAGTGCTCACGTTTGGCGCGCTGTACTTCCATGGGAAAGTGTCTCCATTGGGGAACGAGTCACGGAGGCGGTGATGATGCTCTCCACTGCCCGATCCACCGCTTCGCTTGTAGCGCTGAAGATGGCAATGTTTTAGGTTTAAAAACGTATTCAGCTTGCTAAGCATTATTGGGTTATTTTGCCGTTATGGCCGACTGGCTAAGGACCCTGTATCTTAGTCAGGATGTCAAGGCCTTCAATTCCGCTGGCTAGATTCTTAGTTCTTTTTTCCCATATATATGGGTTTTTCCTTCCCAACATTTAGGGGCTTAGGGGTTGTGCTTTTGTATTGTTTGTACCACATTATTAGTGTGGATAAATGTATTTTTATGTTCTGAAAGTAGGTAACTTTGGTACATTTACTTACTGCTATCTGTTCAAGCTTTACAACATGTAAATAAGTTATGAGTCAGCTTCCATTCAAGTCAAATCTGCTTTGTGCTGGGTTTATGAGTTAAAGATAATACTATACTTACATAAAAGTACTAATTCTAATGCACTTTAAACGTAAAAAAGACTAGATATGACAACGACAAGGGCTTTTGCTTTAAAATTATGGACTAGATCAAGTTTACTTTTTTCTTAAGGTTGAAATTTTAAAGCTTGAAACAAATCTTAAGTAAAAGTGCACTGTAATGTTCTATGAAATCTCCAAGTTTCCTTTCCACTCACTCCATTTGGTTTGTCCTCTTCATGGTGGTGTTTGTGCTCATAGCCATCGGTGTCGGTGACGATTCCCTGGATGTCCTCCTGAAAATATTGATCGCTGAATAAGAAGGGATACTTAGCTTTTCAGTGATCTTAATCAATCTCATTTAAACTACCGTACATTCTTGAGTGTGGTGTCTCGTCGAGCCGCATTCTGGCAGCACACCGTGCACGAATCCTCGTCGGCCGCGGCCACGTCAGAGCATCTGGAAATTTGGAAATTACAGTAAAAAGTTGCATGATCCTAAAATTTTTAAGTATTCTAATCTTTTAAATTAGATAATCTAGATATAGTTTGATCAGTTTTATCAATAGCAATAGATATTCAGGACTGTTATCGGAGTTTTGAAGGTGTATCCAAAGCTTTGAACATTAAAAACTTGACTACTGTCAAATTTAGATTACTGTAGCTTAGGTTTATCTACTTTACAGTATAATTGCTTATATAATTTTTTGTAAATATTTTTTCTTACCTGACTCGATGCGCCTTGTGGAGTCCACCGCGCGATCGGCTCAACACAAGCAACACGGAGGCGTCCAAGTCGCACACACATAGCCTTGAAATTGGATCGATTTCAAACTTAAAACATCTTAACATCTTAGCTAAGATCTATCTTAATTAATAATAAATTTTGCAAAGATTACGATCGTGAATTTGTGGCTGATAGTAGCCAGGTCCATAGCCGTATTCGTGGTGATGGCGGTGTCGATGGTGCTCACTGCTGTCTGGAAAACATTGATTGGACCTTGGACTTTAAGTACAGTATTTTTAAGCCCATTAAAGTTAAGCGCTTAAGCTTTAGTTCTTAAAAAGTACATTCTATATCAAAAGACGTATCACTCACGTGATCGATCATGATGATGGCGATTTCGGTGACCCTCGGCGGTTTCCGTCTTCAGTGGGTCCTCCTAGAAAAAATTTCATTGTTAAAGTTTAAAATTTAAAACAAAAGCTCAAATATTGAAATGTTGGTACTTGTTAATTAGAGAATTCGCTTTAGATATGAAAAGTTTGACTTATTTTTTAGACTGTCTAACTGTCTAATTCAGTGCATTCTAAGAAGTATTATAACTACCGTACTCTTTTCCATCCTTTCCATCTTTTTTCCTGAGCGAAAACTGTAATCAATAAGTAATTTTTAATCGAAAAATGAAAATTTGGGTTTGGCCGAGTGCTCATCCAGCATCTAGGGAACCGAATCCAAAGTTTTACTTGAACAAAACATTAGATTGGGGTACCCTAGACACGGGTGAACGATGGGGGAAATCGAAAAAAAGACAAACAAAAGTTAAACGAAACTCACAGAAAACAAAGACAGCGTTTAGGGAAATGTATATAAATCTGAAAGAGATGATTAGTACGAGATTTGGGGATTTTGAAATCCAGAACACTGTAGAGAACGATTCTTACTTCTCAACAGTAGGTCTAGATGAAAATGAAAATTATTCAGCCAGTGAACCCAGATAACTTTAAAATACTTCCTAACTTAAAGCTAAGAATTTTCAGTTTTATCAGGTTGTCAACTAAATAACCAATTTTTCAAAATTGGTTTTTACAGGTGTCGAATGCACCATATGAAGTACGGTTTGCACCATTGGAAAGATCTAATTTCACTGCAAAATGATTGTTGGCAATTTAGAAAAGCTTTCGTTTTTAGGAGTTTTCTCGGGAGTGCAAAGAGAGTAGGCAAAATTAGCGAGAATCGACGGTGGGAACTGGCACTAACTTTTTATGCCAAAGAAAGATCAGTCTCTGTTACATTTTTAGTAAAATTTTCAGTAAAATCCATCCAGCCGTTTTCCACAAATTTCAAGTTATTCATTAAAATGAGATCAAATTTCTGAAGCATATGATCAAAATCCTTTATTTGAGGACTTTTGTTCAAACCAAAAATTCAGAAAAAACGATTGGACGGATTTGGTTGAAAATTGTACTGAAAATGTTGAAAATCTATGTCTTTATTTTACCTACAAAAAGGAAAACCAATTCTTGTTGAAAATAATGTTAAATGAGGAAGTTTTTGCGTGTTGGTGTTTTAGACTACATGATTTGCAAGTAGTTCAAGTCATTAGATGGCTGATATATTAGATGGCATTAGATGGCTGATAATTTTACTAAAAAGATGAAAAGCTAAGCGCTTTATTTCACGCGAAAAATTAAAATTAGTACTTGTCAAAAAATGCTGTAAGGCGCTTTTCTGTTTTTGTCAATTTTGGCAACTTTTTCTTTGCAGTCCCGGAAAATGTGCAAAAAGAAAATCTTTCCAAAACCTCTCAAAAGTTATTTTGTTAAAAAAAGATAGATCTGTAAAGATAAAGAAAAAAGATACAAACTAAATCTCATTTGGTTCAGCCATCATTTTAAAAGCCACTTTTTCCAAAAAAATTTTGTTATTTTACAACCTAATAACGTTAGCTTTTCTACCAGCTTATTGTAGTAATAGAATCGAAACTAAATAATCTTAAACTACCGTACCTTCTCCAGGATTTTGGATTTAGCTTATACATAGATTTTAAACTCCACGATTATTAGCTGTAACCGTTTTGAACGAAAAAGTATGAAATAATCTTTAAAAATGAAGACTTAAAATGGTACATGCTCTTCATCCGTTAAAGTATGTCTAGATAAAAGTATTCAGTCCTAGATATTTTGGAAGGTCTTCAATCACCTCAAGCTAAAGATATTGAGTCCTAACACTGCATAGCCTAAGATTTAAAAGTTTAAGCTAACTTCGAGATTAAGAGCGGACTATGTCTACTGTTAGCAAGGAAACTTAATAATCCAATCTTTAGTGTTAGTGAATTAGTTCTTTCAAACAAGAAGTCTATCTACTGAATTTCCGTACCAACCGTCTGATTGGAAGCTTGAGCGGCGATGACACCGACGAGGGCGAGCAGAAGAAATGCAAGACGAGTCATTCTTTTCTCACTTTCCACACAGATCCGAATGAAATGATCTGAGAATGGGGAATGAATTGAAAAGAATGAAGGGAAAAGAGGACCTACCCGGCCACCATCACACCTTATGAACTGGAGAAGAATTGAAAAGGGGAGGAGCCGAGAGGGGCACAGCCAATCACTGAAAGAACACTGTATTGGGGAATATACTTGCAATGGAGGTTGAAAAGTATCAAAAAATGATTTTACAATGTAAGTAGGTCAAGATCGAAGTTAATGAAAAAGAATATCAACTCCAGTTAGCGTTCAACGATCACGTACTGTATTGGACGTAGTGTATTAGGTTTAACGTCTTTTAAAAATAATGCCGCCACCAACAAAATTTATATTGGAATTATTAAAAAGATTGATTTTTCTCTGCAAAATGGCTTTTGGGAAATTCTTGGAAGTTGTTGTTTTTGTGGATTTCAAAAGCACAAAGCCGAGTACCCAAAACCGCACCAACCGCACCGACTTTATAACTTGAAATTGGCAAAAGTTATTGAATAATGGTTTTGAATATAGGAAGAGCAGTGGCAATATAGGTCAGTCTTAAGCTCTCGTCATCTGACGAAGATTCATGCACTGAATGCTGTAAAAGAGGAATTGTAACGAAAGTTAACTTTTTGATTGAACATTGAAAGACACCAAGCTATTATAATTGTAAGAGTTATTCTTTTTAAATAAGAAGTCAGGAAACAGGTACTTATTTTGAAAACTTTAAGGGGTAAAAACAGCTTTCGAAAACTACCTGGATCTTGGCTCTAACACAGACTAGCTTTTGTCGATAAAACTCAATACGTTACTTGAGAGGTTCTACTCACTAATCTTTAATCATGTTCGGTATGATGGTTCGTAAAGTCTCAGTCTTGAACCAAAAGTCAAATGGAACCATTTGTTACTGTTTGCATCACTGTTTGCATTACTGTTTGCGAAGTTGTGCTAGTTTTACTTTATTTCTTGTATAACAATTAATATGGGATAAAATTGAGTTGATGATAGAAATAGATTGAAGAGAGAAAATTTGTCAATGCTCAATATTTTCGTTTTGCTTGTATCACTTGCTTGTCAAGGATTGTTCTGACAATAAGAGTTCTGACAATAAGAGCTACATTACATACCAGCCGGTGAGCAAGCGACGCACTGTGGGCATGGGAGCGGGCTTGTCTACGGCCCACACGGTCTGGCTTCGGCTCTCGGCTGTGTCATGACTTCTGTTTTTTTAAAAAACAAAAGATGAGATGCACAGCCATATAGAATTCTAAGCCTAACAAACCAAAAATCATGTAAATCGGCCCACGTAGAGCCAAGAACTCGCGCGTACAGACAGACACTTCCCTTTTATATATAGTAGATAGTATTTTGTTTTTAAAACATGTACTTTCTTGGTAGTTTGCTGAATTCTCAAAGGTAACTAAAACTGATTGTTCGCTGGATCGAAGCATTTTCTCTTATATGACTTTCCGCGATGAGCTGCTAAAATTACCGTACTGTATATTCGATTTTACTCGATTTTACTGAATTCACAAAAATCCCATCAAGAATTTGAATCACTGTTCTCCATTTTATCTCTTCAACAATCTTTCGCAAAAGTTTCACTTGTTATTTTCCCATTTCTTATCGTTCCCTATCAGCGAAAAGTGCCCGTGATTCGACATTTGCAAAGAAATTTGCTTCATCGACTTTTGTTGGGTCTTTTCGGATTCTTTTTTTGCCCTAATAGCTTTTAGAAGGGGAATGGGAGAAATGGTGATATCGGTGATCGGATCTGGGGGAAACACTCAAAAGAAGAAACGATCTAAAACTCCTCTAAAAGCTTTCGATTTCACAATGAATTCACATTCTTGCGGGACAAAAATGGATCTGATAGGGTCAATGTTTTCCCTTTTCCACCACCCCCACTTTCCTGTGCTTCGATTTTTCCGGGGGTTGACTGTAATATTGGACTTCCATTTGCTCCCCTTTCCACACAATCCCATTTTTTCCCCCGAATCAAAACATCCGTCGCAATTTCCCCGGTTTTCTCGGAAGATTTGCCTCGTTGAGAGACTGTATGGAATTTTGTGCGTGTTGAAATCGAAGGGAAAGAGAGAACTTTGAGACAGGAAACACTGAAGTATTCAGGGATTGGAGCAATTTTAATATCATTCGTGAACCCAGAATCAAGTCAGTACACAGAGTTAGCAAGAGCTGGAGGCAAGGTTACGATAGTTTTTGAAAATTTCACGTTTTAGAAAACGCACTAGTTGCTTTTGATGGATTTTGAAGTGTCTAATTGTAACAGACAGGCAAACAGATTTGGGACCTTGCAAAGTAATCTTATTAGCTCGAGTTCCAATAATGACAGGAAAAATGAAGGCTCAAGTAATAAGTGGCAAACAAATAAACAAGCCACTAATGAGTAAAGTATTTTCTTTTGCCTAATAGTTTTCAAAGATGTGTCACCTTTTGAAAACTATCGCAATTTTACCTTTAAAATCATCCAATCAGCCTACTGTTTTATTTAACCGATCTACTTTTAGTCCATCTTAAAACTCACAAAATAGATTATAGATTTGACAGGCGATAGAGGCAAGATTACGGTAATGTGGACATATTTTAGAAAACAAGTCAAACAGAAAGGGCTCTAGTGTCTACTCTTGACAGTACAACTGTCTAATGTCTAGATGTCTAAAATCACCTCATGGCTCAAATTTAAGCATGAATAGTTAATAAAAATAGAAAGTTTCCAAACGAATGTCCCAACAAATATGCCGAAAACGGAGACGAAGAAAACTCAACTGAACGATATGTGGGACTGTAAAAAGTGAATGAGATGAGTGGAAATGAATGGTGGGCCCTTCCTTGGATGATTCATTCAATTTCCATTGAATCACAATCTTTTCTCAAAAAAGGAAAAGCACGGAAATGAAAAGCAAATGAAAGATTCTGAAGAGAAATCTCCTTTTCCGACATCTTTGTGGGAACAAAGAGGACTGTTTCAAACATATGTGAACTTGTGAAATAAACTATGTCACTTGTTTAGCTAGAAAATTTGACTAGAACAGTTTAAAGTAATGTCTAGCCAACTAAAATAAAACAGAAAAGGTTGAAAATTTTGAAATCTTATCTGAAAGATATGGTTGATTTTCGACTGGACATTTTTATTCTTACAGTGTTAAAGATATTCATTCATTCCTCTACTGAAGCTGAAGATGTACACCTTAATATCTTTATTCCGAAATATCACACGATATTTGGGCTTCACAAGGAAATGCGGCTAGAAAATGTCGCTGGAGTTACAGAAGTTTGCTGTAGGTATTGAGCTAGGGATTATGAAATGGCGCCGACTTTCAAAGATTTTTCTGAAACGCATAAAAGCTCCATATAAGCCATTGTTTGTATAATCAAAAGGGTCTAGCATTGCTCTACAAAATGACTTTTGAGAGGTTCTTTTGTTTGGATTTTATGGGCACCTAAACACAACGAGGCAAATTGTTCGATTAATTCGATTCCAATTTGACTCGTTCCTTACACATAAACTTAACTTGATGTCAAAACAAAAAATTTAGAGCACATTTAATTATATAAGTAGCCAAATTTTTGTAGTGATCTCGTCATTCATTTTCTCTAAATGAAGATTTATAGAGTTTATCTATATTCTATTGTGACAACTCAGGGGGCGTTTTTTGGGGTTATTTTTCAAATGTGATTAAGTGAGTAGAGAAATAAGTGACCTTCCTAACGATCCTAGCTTTCTAACATTTGATAAAGGCTACTCAATGTTAAAGAAGTTTCTTTGAAAGTCATCCTCCCTCAACCCAATATTTAAACTCTTAAGTTTCGAAATCTAAAGAGAACGAAGCTAGCTTAAGCCAAGATTTATATCAACAAAATGAAATGTAAAAAGGTTCAGTTCAGCAATAAATTATTAGTATCATTAGGTTATTAAGGTGTTTGAGATTATTAAAGTCATCGCCTCCTAACGTACTAAATTCTTCTCATCCACAAAAATCCACTGCTAACTCTGACTACACTGACTAACTAACCATGACTTTGCTTAGCATTTAAAGTGATCTTTTTGGCAACCTTGAAGAATTCTGGATTTTAAGGTACATTATAAGGTATCTTAATAGTGATTAGTCTTGCATTCGTTTTGCACTTGGGCTTACTCGAGTAACGTAAACACCCGGAGTTTCATAACTTCTGTACCCAAACCTACTTGTCAGCACTTCTTGAACATTCCTCTGCCTCGCTTCTCCTTGATCCATTCGGCCCCTCCTCCTCTTTATGAATCACAGCCGGGGAGATAAAAGGTGATGTTCTTTGTAATCTCTCCCTTTTTTGATCCCTCCTCCATTGCCCTTCATTCCATCCCCATCATTCTCCTTGTGATCCGTTCTTGAGGGAGTCTCCAAGCATCTCGAAAGATGAATCCCCTTCTCTTTCTTCCCATTCTCTGTTTGGCCATCGCTCAGGAGGCTCAGGTGGTTTTATGCACCGTTATAGCTTTGTTAACGGTTTAAATGCAAATTTCAAAAGCAAATCAGCAAAAGTCAGCTAGTCAACGTTAGAAAGCTTTCTGAATGATTGGCAGTTGGGATACGACGGAAAGTAGGGTGCTGTAAAATCCATTTCCTTGTCTCCATTGTATAGTATCGGAATGAAAGTTTTTAGATGCTAAGAGTGAAGATATTTTGCTTCAATTGAAAATTTGCTTAGGTCTTAATGTCTGGATACTTTTCCAAGCTACTGTAGTGAGACAAGTGTCTGAGACTTTACCGTAACCGTAGGCTTGAGGTATATTGTTAACGTGTGCTTTGACGCTTCTCGTAAACTTTCAAAATCTGGCACACAAAATTTCTTGCTCTTTTCCAGCTGTTCTCCAGATACAGATAGTGAAAGTTCACGTCAGTCATCAAAGTTCGCATTCACTGAGCTATCGTAGACAAAATTTTAGAAAAGCTAACGAGAACTGAAAGGGACTTTTGAAAGGGAAAATTTTCGACATGAATCAAATAGCATTCAATTTACAGCCCACAACAACCCCATCACCGGCTGATGACAACGGCCAACCGCTCTCCTACGGCGGAGGACCCAGCTACGCTCAACCGGTCAGTTTTTAGCTATTTGATTTTATTAGCACCATTGTATTTGATATTTATATATTTTAAGACAAATCAGATTGACATTTGATTCCTTTCAGCAATACGGTCCACCACCATTCTTCGGCCCGATCTTCGTCCCACCCAACTATGACTGTGGGTTTTGAAAGAAGATTGAATACTCATAATCTTACCGTAATATTTGAGAAATCTTTGATGCTTTTAATAATTCTATTTTTACAGTGAACTACTGCTCGGTGCACGCCTCGTTCCCAATGGTCGGTCTTCACCGAAGACATCATCACCGTGATCACTCTCGGGAACACGGTTGGTGCTTTAAAACATGACTAACATAAAAATTATAGAGATAATAGATAAAACAAGAACTGACAGATAGTTCACTTATAAAAATTTGAAAAGAAAGTGTTAATGTGTTGCGACAAGTGTTAATTTTGTTAAATAACCTAAAGAAAGTGGAAACACCTTTAACTTTTAAAAATAAGAAATTGAAACACTCTTGAAAAAGAACCCCGGAAACATCTTTAGCTTTTGAGAAGTGTACCTTGGAAAGCTTTATAATCAAGAAGTGAAGGAATTGGCAAGCAAAATCAGCTTTCCGATGAGGGAGATTGAACTCTCGAGCTTTTGCTTTCAGAGCAATTGCTCTAACCACTGAGCTATTCGCTACCTGAACTTGCCAAGAGAAAGAAGGAAAGAAGCAAGAGAAGGGACCTTTCCAGGCCGTCACCGTCGTCAAGCCTACGGTGGATACCAGCAAGGAGGATATGGAGGTGCAGTTGTAGGAGCTGCGCCCGTGCCAGCTATTTCGAACTCTCTCTACTCTCCATCGGCCGCCGCTCAACCAGCCTACGGACAACCGGGATACGGACAAGCTTCGTATGCACAGGTTTGCGAATCAGAATAAAGATCACGATCCATATCCATTCCACGAATTTCACCAAGATTTTCACTTTTAATCTGCCCATTTTCAGCCCGGCTATCCATCGTACTACCCCCATGCTCGTCATCGCTACTATGAGCGTCATTCGTGCCGGTTCGTTAATGAATAAGCTTAGATAAAGAATTTTATGAATGGAAAAAGTTACAATTAAAAGAGGATTTCATTTTATAAAGAGTGAATTTTCAGCTACACGGCCACATTCTCTCAGGAGACATGTCAAACGTGCTGCCGAATCGCCTCTCGAAATGCCAACACTGCTGCGGTTTGTGCTTTGAGTATCGAAGAATATAGCTATATATAATCTAGATTCCATACGATAAGATTTTTAAGTTCTTTAAGTCGATTTATCGTTTAAAGATACTAAAAGCTATGAAGCTTGCCCCAGAATAATCAATTACCGTATTCTCTCTAATAGTAGTGCACCCAGAGCGTTGCCTAAATTGCTCGAAATCTCGAAAAGTGCTTATCAGAACCTATCGATGTGGGGTCGGAAAATGTGGCTGACGATGAGATCTTGTGGGGAATTAGAGGGTTGAGCGTCTACAAAAACTTAGAAACCGTAAAATAGTCATCAACTCGGCTCGGTGGGGTGCACTACTATTAGAGAGAATACGGTAGCCTTATCAATTACTTTTATTATACTGTAATGAGTTGAGAGGCTGAAATTTACAATATTTTAAGCTCACTGGCTTCACTGACACGGTTAAGACAAGAAAGATACTTTCATATAAAAGGGGGGGGAAATGTGCCAGAGAGCGTACGATTGTCAGAACCCAAGAGCGAAGCTACAGTACTTCATTTTTGATACAAAAGAAAGCTAGGTTACTGTAGTATGTAGGTTACTTTAGGCTCGATTTATCAATTTATAGAATTGAAAACAAGAAGAAAAACTGGCCAAATTTCAGAGCGAGATCACCGGCGCTCTATTCAACTTCGACCCGGACACCAAGGGAGATGTGAGTTGATTGACTTTATAAAAAAAAAATCTTAATTTGAAGAATAAGACTTGTAAATTGAAATCTGATACATAGCCAGATAGATTTTAATCTTAGAAACCAATCTCAAACTCTCATTTTGCAGACGATGCCCAACCCGGAGACGCAATGCGTGTGCTGTGCCCCAAAGAAGAGCTTCTAGAGACTCCACCTTTCCCATTCTACACATGACAAGAATTTTTTATATTTTTTTATAGTAAAATAAATGTTTAAGTTAAATTTTTGCCTCAATCATCAACTTCGGAGCAATTTCTTTTTTTGAATTGGATCTTGTAAGCCTGATGAACATTGTAGTAGAACGCGCCGTAGAGGCTCTCGTAACGAACTCGTTCAATCATGCAGCCATGACCGTCACAGATCCATTCTGGAAATTTTGAGCAAAGAGAGTTTTGAAGTCTATTGCACTTGTTGAATTTTATCTAAAAACTTAAGAAGTTTTAGAAATCCAAATTAAGATCAGAGAAAACTTGTTCTTGGATATGTATTGCGTCCAAAATTCAAAAATAAACTATTAAAAATTATCCTGCTTTATCAAATTATTTAACACTATTGTGCTCCAAAATGTTTCGAATTCAAAACTTTAAAAGGAAAAATTTTAAAAAATGTAATTCTAATATCTCCATCGTGGATTACTGCAACTTGTTCCTTACTCTAGGACTCTGAGCTAACACTTTGACTTTGGGTTTACTATTGTGAAATCAAATTGCGGGCTGAAAAACTTCGTAAATTCTTAAGTTGTTTTTGCCAACTTTATTTATGTATATTAATATCAAAATCTCAAAACTTTTCATTTCCAAAAACCTCTCAAAATCGGGTCCACCGAGCAATCCTCGGCCAGCACCTCCCACGCGTGACTGTACATTGGATTCTCGTGAATTTTACTCCAAGCTCGATCCACCTGAAAAAGACTGCAGCTGATTTATTTCATTGTTTTATCGCAAAAAGCAGAGCCTCTTTTCCTCTTTTTACTAACCTTTTCCAAGACTTCTCCCGACAAGCCATTCTCCATGAATGAGAAAGCGTTCTCTGTACCGTAGAATTTGGATGGAAAGACCAAATCGTCGAAAAGATCCTGGAAATTGACTTGGGCTGAGACTGACAGGATGTCACAGATCGCCAAGATCAAGGCAAATCCAATTGTAATTATAGCTGCTCCCCTACTGTTCACAAGATACAGTTCAGATTCATATTTAATATGAACTTTAATAGGAACTCTAGCCTATTACGGAATTTTTGTTCAAATAAAGTTCACTATTAGGTCAAAATTACCTTTGCTTCATTCATCCTCGAAGGCATCCCGATGCGGATGCGATTTTCGAGCGAATCCGTGTACCCGGTTTTTCGAAGGACATCTAATGGGAGAAATGGGCCTGATAGAGACTCTGAAAGGGAAATCTAGAGGCTGCATCATAAATCTCATGTGCGTTTGAGTGAAAAACCTCAAAAGCACAAGTTCAAGAGTTTACAAACCATATTCAAACGTGCGCACTCGCTTCAAGTTGTAGATCAACAAGCGCTCGTCGGTTTGACTATAAAACTTTTCGACTTACAAGGGAATGCCACAAAATGGCCGTGGCAGATGTTGACGTCGTTGAGATGCAAACGCCTATCGGACACGGGGAATCCGATGCTGTATTCAGTTTCTGCCCGTATTCAAAAACACGCGAGTAAAATGTTGAGTAAGTAATTAGTGATAGTAAGCACTTTAGGAACTAAAAAACTATAAAATTATTTTTGCTAATTCTGCAAAAGAAAACAAAAGTTTTTCCCGGAGTGGATACGGACCTGCGACCAAAAAGCGAAAAGCAGGTCGGGTACGCGCGCACTCACCACTACATCATCTGGTCATATTTCGAAAAAGAAATTTTCGTAAAAGAACCTTTATAAGTCCGCGGCACAATTTTCCTAATAGACACCCAAACTTTGAACACATTTTTCTCGCGTGTTTGAATAAGGGCAAAAATTGAATAAAGCATCGGATTCCCCCTGTCCGATAGGCGTTTGCATCTCAACAGCAGCAAAATCTACTACGGCCATTTTGTGGCATCCCCTTGTTAGCACGAATGATTGAAATTTGAAATACTTGAAAACTTGCAGAAACTCTTTCAGATAGTTTGGCTGCAATCTCGGAATGACAAATTCGTCATTCGGGGAGAAAATAAGAAAGTTTGCGGATTGGCGATAGAGAAGGAAACAGTCGAGGAAGGGAGCCGCTTGGTAGTCACGGTCGAGAAGCTGGAATGGTAAGACAAAGTTGAAAATAATATCTGAATAAAACTATTTTTTAAATATCTTGTAAAATATTCAAATCACTTACATCATTTGGGTCAAAGTTCGCGAGTTTAGCCAATCTCACCCAGGGACTCAAACGGGCATAGCCGGCTTTTTCGAAGGTGACCAGCGCTCTGAAAGTGTGAAAGCTATGAAAAAGTTAAAACTATTGTGTAAGTTGAACAAGATGTTTTAAAATTTACCGATAAAATGGACTCTGAAGAGTTGAGTGTGGAATGTGGACAAATGAACCGAAAGCGATTGCTGAAATCGTTCAGAGTAGAACTCTTTACTCTTAGAAATGTCATCAAGAGCTTTGTCTGTAATCTCTTTTGCCTAGAGTTTCAATGTGCAACACTTTCTGAGTGTCATGGTTTTCTTTCTTTGAAACAAGTGAGCCAAAGAGTGTACAAAAGTAAAAATTATAATGAATTTGTAAAATGAATTTGTACAAAAGTACAAATCCACTATGGAAAAGTACAAATTTTACTTAATTCTTGTCTTGCCTGAATATCCTTTCTTCCCTAAATATATTGTTAAAATGGGTTCATTCCGTGTCTTTTTTAGTCAGTGTTCAAGTTATTTGTTTTCAATTTTGTTTATGAACGAGTTATCGTTCGATGTGAATCCTTCCACATTCGTTATTTGAATTCGTGCAAGTAAGCCGTTGGGTTAAAGTCAAATACAGATAACAAATTGGTTGATTGGTTGGTTAAACGAAATTTGTACAATAAAGTGCAAAAGACAGAGTTTTTGTTTAAATACACATAAACTCGTGTTGGAACAAGAATTTTTTGGTACATAATGGCTGTTTTAGGCTTTTACAGTTTGAATTTGACAGAATAATTTGACGAATGGCAGAACATAAACTGCAAACGAGCCTGTACTGATTGCTGTAATCATTTCGGGTAAATGCCGATCGATCAACGGAACCATGCACGTAACAACATTTCGCGAAACAGGCTCCGATTCTCGGAGAGCCACCTGAGAAATAGATAGGTAAACGATAGCCTGATAAAATTAGGAATTGCGTTGGCTGAGTTTGATTATAGAGCTAATGGATACCCGAAGTTTCACTCTTCCAACGATACTCGTCAACAATGGTGGTCGTTTCTCCTCAACAGTCAATGAAACCTAGAGATTTTCATTGGATTTCGGCAAATTTTTTGTTTTGGCTACTTGTGACGATTCATCTCTTAGTGCCACATTGCCAACAATCAAATGTTTCGATGGATCGTTTAGGAAAACCTGCAATTGCAATTTGTACCTTCGAGAAGTATTCAGTATTCGGTATGAAAAGTATTCTATAACAACCTTTCCCGAGACAATTTCCATTTGTCTCTCGTAGTCATGTTCTTCTTGCAGAGCTAGTAGAATTCGCGAGTTGTCCACTTCACCTCTTCGTGAAACGAATAAAATCGAGATATGGGGACTAAAAAGTATAGTACCCTTTGATAATAAGCTGAAAGACTTGATCTTATTGTTCCTTGTCAGCTCAAGCTCCAACCCTAAGTTATACCCGGTTGGGCAAAATTACCCGGACAAGAAACTTGTTTGAATGTTATTTGTCAACCGTTCCATAAAACTGCTATAACTCTTTTTCTATAAACTCTTAATTATTCTTGAAAAAAGTAGTCACACTTTTCTAGTCTTAATGTTTTTCTTGAGTTTTTCAGAAACCAAAAACGCGCTTAAAGGGGAAAAATGAAGCTCCACGCCAGGATCAATTTTACCCGATGCTTTGTGGTTCAAAAGAAAAGCCGGATTTTTCTTTTCAGTAATGTCCGAATAGGTTATAGAGTGAATAAATTTATACTATGGAGAAAATTACAACGGTTAATTTGGCTGGCTGCAAAGTTACAACGAAGAGCTCTTGTCCGGGTAAATTTGCCCAAACATTTCCCCAACAAACCTGGGCTCTTTGTAGAGAGTTGAAGAGACAATCGACAGATCATCGAATACATTCAATAAATATTCATATTTTAAAGCATAATAGGTGATATAGCAAATCCATAGAAAACAAACACAACTCACGACTAGGGAACCCAATTTCATGCAAAGCTTTTTTTGAGAAGCCGGGAGAAGGATGGGTAAAAGAATGACCCGCGGTTCAAAGAGGGCGAAAAAACTCGATTCGATGTCGAGATAGGAGTTTTGGTTTTAATGCTCTTGTTTTTTAAAATTCTTAAACCGCACGGTCTGAATGGCTTCTGGATGGCATAGAAAGTGTTGCGCTTAATGCGTCTTTTTGGCTTTCTAAGAAAATACATTAACCTAAACTAAAAAACAACAATTAATCATAAAACCTACGCGTAATTTTACATAGAATAGAAGAAGTGTAACAATTTTTTAATGACTTTGACAACCCCAGCCAAGCAATACAAAAAATGCTATGCGGCACGAGGCTGAAAAACAGTTAAAATCGAGTTTGGTATCTCTAAAAAATCGTCTTTTTCTGTCTTTTTCTGCATTAATACGTTTTTAGAGTTAATCACTATAAAAGTAGTGTTTTTTGAGCTTCATTATTGCAAATCTGAGGTTATCTTGGCTAACAAAAATGAGCACATTTTTGAAATATCTTTTTTTCGAGCGAGCGGCAATCACGTTTAAAGTCTTATATGAAACATGATGGTTTGCGTAAATTTGAATGTGAAATCATTTTATTCATCCATTTCATCGTTTATCTTTATTCTACAATTCCCCATCATCGCCATCATTTTCTCCTTTCAAAATCTCTTCTTCAATCTCCTTTTCTCGTCGCCAATTCTCCAAAGCTGCTGAAATGTTTTTGTTTTTGCAAATGCAATTCAAATCTTACATTTCAATCTTTCTATTCAAATATCAGCTTACCCAAATGTGCACAACAAAAAGCGATTCCACACTTTGAATGAACACATTTGTATGGCTTTGGACACTGAAAGAAATGATTTGAGAACAATTTTGGCTCTAGACGCTCAAGTCAGAATTTAATCGTCATTTTGGCCGCTTTTAAGTAAAACAATAGCTGAACAGAATATAAAATTTATAAAAGAAAGACTAAAAACAAATTCACTACAGAGATTTGTGCATAGTGGCGACCAACAAACGCGAAAATTTTCGGGTTTTTGTGGTCGTGGAATTGATTGGAGCGATTCATTTTATTGAGTCTACCAATTAGAACTCGGATTGAATTAAATCAGGTGAATCAATGAAAAGGAAAATTTTCAAATCATAAATTCTATCGAATTCTTTTCCTTTGAAACAAAATTTCCCTCTTACTTTAACCTCTCCGTTCATCGGATCACATGTATAAGCTGATTGATCATTTCTTCTCAAAATTTCCCAATTTTGTGGGCAATATTCATCTGGAATTCGAATTTAAGATCTGATCTAAATGATTCATGAAACTCACTAGACTTACACGTGGCTGAAGTGACAAAGAAAGAATTCTGAAAAATACAAAAAAGGATGCATTGAATAAGGAAATTTAGGAACATTTTCGATGGATTTTTAAGAATTTTTGAGGTAAAGTGAGGAAAAAAAGATGTGAATGAATGAAAGAAAAGGTTAGATTTTATCGCATTCACGCACAGAAAGGCACATCCAAATAGGGTCATTTGCAAAAGAGAGGGATTCGATAAAGGGACTTGAACACTTGAATACAATAGCATTTGTATTGGCTGGTTCCAAGTCACAAATCATAGCTAACCAAACAAATAGTAAGCTGAAGCCCCTGTTCTTTGGCTTACTTTGGTTTAGTTTTAGTTTATGATTTTTACGTAAATCAGTATTGTTTCTAGTTTTTCATTCAATCTATTAACTTTTTATATCTTTTTTATTCTTATGCACCCTTACAGAAGCAGATCAAACGTGAATAGATAGGATAAACCTAAAGGCAAGATTACAGTAGTCTAGAAAGTTGCCATGTTTTAGAAAATGACTTTTTGAGGAACAGAGAGAACAACTTTAGTTGTGTTATACTTGTTGTGAAAGTTGGTCATTGACTTGTCATAGCTGGAGTTGTACTATTAGGTACTTGCAAAAGAAACTGCGGATTACTTCCGAGGACGAAAGTTTTTTGATTTGAAAGTGTGCTAGTCCGATTTAAATTGTATTCTATTGTATTATTATTGAATTTATTTCAATTATTTTCACAACTATTGCTATCATTGAATATTACATAATTTTAGGTATAAGATGACGAATCAAAAACTCATGTTGTGAGCGTATCTTCTCTATGACTTCAAAATGAAAAAATCAGCATTGGAGTCGCACCGGAATCTTTGTGAAGCATTCGGAGAAAACATTTTGAGTGAAAGGACTTACCAGGAATGGTTTCGACGTTTTCGTGAAGGGGATGACAGCTTGAAAAATGAACCACATGGATATCGTCCAGTTGTCCTCGATAATGCGGAGTTGCTGGAGATTGTCGAGTTGGATTCAACTCAAAATTTGCCCGAATTAGCTGAATACTTTAAATGTGATACAAGCACAATTTCTCGACACCTTTTGCTCATTGGAAAAAGGAATCGTTGTGTCCAATGTGGTCAATGGGTCCCACATGAATTATCCCCTGAAAAAAAGCCAATCGAGTTTTATTGTCTCGGATTCTATTGAAAAAGGCTACGGGCAGTGCTTTTTTTGAAAGCATGTTGACGATGGCCGAAAAGTGGATATATTTTAATAATACAAAAGCAATGGTTGAGCAAAGGAGAAATTCCGATTCCGACACCACATCCAGATCTCCGGAAAGAAAGTTATGCTGTCGGTCTTTTGGAATATGAAAGGAATCGTTTATTTCGAATTACGAAAATCTTCAAAAACTATGACTTCTCAAAGCTGAACAGCTGAAGAAAGTTGATGAAATTCTACGAGAAAGAGGTGTTAATCCAAAGACAATCCATTTACTCGCTCACAATTTCCGGGTACACACATCAAACTTGGCTCAAAACACCATAGAAGAATTAGGCTGGAACCTTGTGCCTCATCCGCCATATTCGCCTGATAATGCTCCCTCAGATTACCACTTGTTCCGGTCTATGCAACACTCTCTTGCAAATCAAAAGTTTAAAAATCCTGAAGAAGTCGAAATTTGGGTGCAAGACTACTTTGCGTCCCGAACCAGGACCCCGAATTTTTCGAGTCATCATCCGAAGTCTACGCAAACAATGGAAGAGCACGGTTGATAATAATGTTTAATATCTTTTGGAATAAAGTTGTTTTCTTTTTGATTTTTGGATCGTTCGAATGTTAGCTATAATCCCCAGTTTCTTTTGCAAGTACCTAATAGCGATCACCCCATGGAACTCTTCTGGTGAATTTCTTGACACGGCACTAATCTTGAAATCGATCGCCATCCGTTTAAAATTTGATCGAAATAGCGGAAGCAAAAAGTCGCGTGGAGATCCACCCATCCGGGTTTGGGGCGTGACAAAAAAAGGGGAGAGGATGGCGTGAATTCGTCGTGCAATATTCATTGGGTGAAGTCTGCGAGAAAGAAAGAAGAAGAAAAAGATAGAAGAGATGGGAGACATCTCGGCCCGTTTTCTCTTGTCGATTGCGAGTGGATGGGGAGGAGAACTCGCCCTCTCTATTCCATCCATTTCCTCCATTCCACGTCCATCCTCACTTCAACCATTTCATTGCCACTTTTATTTTTCATTTCTTGGAATTTGTTATTTTGTTCCAAGGCGGCAAGAGCTTTTTAAAGACTTGTCTTTTCTGGAAAATGAATCCTCCAGCTCAAGGCGGGCAAAAGCCAGGCTCTACTATGGGCCTGGCTACTAATCGGGCTTTGACCTGGCAGAGCTCGGTCAAATCATCTCTACTGTTTAATATGTCGGACAAGATAAAAAGCCAGGGCAGAAGCTAGACCTGTAACTGGCTTTATAGGCTGGACCCAAGCCGGACCACTGTCCTATTCTTCCATTCTCTAAAACGTATCTCATTTAAAGGCTAGCGTAATCCGGTCCTTATTGGGTAAAAGCTCGACACAAGGCTACGGTATCTTTCGAAAGTTGACATGTTTTAGAAGGCATCATTTGAGATGAAGTACATTCCAATTACTGATACTTAAAAGTCTAACTTTAGAGCTCTCTATGCTTCTCCAATGTCACCAAATTGGAGTCCATCAACCTCCTTTCAATTGATTCAGCTGTTCATTTTATTTTGTGACCTCTTCTGCCGAGTACTATCAATAATAAAGCAAAGTATCTTATTGTTAGTTTTGCTTGCTTGTTACACGCGAGAATCTACTCAAGGGACTTAAAGCTTACAAGTTAATCCTCAAGCTGGAGTAAAACAATAGCAACACAAAAAGTAGGAAAGATAATGAAAAGTGAAAAGAGAGAAAAGAAGGAAAAGGGGATTGACATCTCTGACCCGAGAGTTGAGATCCGTGATTGTGCCTCTCTTCCTCATACAGGTCAGCTGCTCCCCTATCTCTTTCTCTTTTCCATTCAAACCCATTCTCACTCAATCCATTTTCTCCCGGGTGTTCCCGTCGGCTTTTATTTACCTTTTAACATATCAAAACTTGTGTGGTATTTCATTTTTTTGCTATTTCTTAATACTCGTTTCTTTTCCTAAGGAAACTCCCTGAAGAAACTTTTCTCTGACTCATAAGGTTCTCAAATTTCAGGAAATATCACCACCTTTCCAAAAAGTTTACTCGAAAATATCTTGCAATCGTTTTTAGAAGTTTTGCCAAGAGAGCTGAGCGATAATTGCCGATAATTGTGATTTGATGTTTTTTCACGACAAAATTATGATGGTCTCCCCAATTTGTAGTTTCCCCACGAGATTTCACCCCCAAAAACTCGCAGAAAATAATATTTTCTCCATAAAAAAAGGAAAGCTTTTATTTGAATTTAAGAAGATATTTTATCTAGATATCTAGTTTTATTGAAAGGTTTGGTAACTTGATTACTCAAGGTTTGATTGAATTCGCTTTTTTTTCAAAAATATTCTAACCCAAAGCTCTCAGGGCGTTATTTTTATATTAAATTGAAATATTCCAACTTTTTTGCATCTTCATTCAAAGAATTCATCCTTTGTCTTCCCGAATTCTTTCGATCGGAAAAAAAAAAATCGTGACGCTGTCATTTCTAATTTGTTGATGAGAGAAGCACTCTTCTTCTGGATTTCTTCCTTTTCTCCTCATCACCTAAAATGAGGAAAAATCCTCGCCTTGTGCGGTCTGATGAAGCTAATTTTTAACTTCTTTCCTCATTCAAGTTGGATCCTCGTTTTTACTTGTAAGTAATTCACTTCCGTATCTCAAATGCTCTAGCATCACCATTAAAACCATTAAAACCAGCTTTTGAGTCTAATTTCGCTTAGCATTTTACCACTTTGAAAAAATGGATTGCATCCAGTTGTACAAAAAAGAATTTTGTCCAGTCAAGCCAGGTCAGAAACCAGGCGTTGACTTTGTTTCGAGCCGGGTTTGGCTTACAAGCCCTGAATTGCAATATTTGCATTAATCGTGCTTTTACAAGAATACGCTCATTGAACCGCTCCATTTCAGGATCCTTTCAGTTTACTGAATCATATCATAGGGATAATGAGAGCTTTTTCTCTTCTTACTTCGTGCAGGCCGTGTCACGTTGTTCTCTTTTCGAAAACTTTGACCTTCAAGCCAACTTGCAATACCTGCTGCACTTGGTTTCTGAAGTCTACCGTTCGTCAAGCCAAAACTACAGTAGTCCTATTCTCCTATTCTTCACACATCTCGAAAAGAGTTCCAAAAACACTCACCCATAATAATAAGGCAATATTTTTTTGTGGATCTCTTGGGGGAGAGTGGGTCGAAAAGGAATGTGTCTATCATTTGGATGACGGGTCGAAATTGAGTTTTCTCCCCTTCATCTTCCATCCATCCCAGGACACGAGGCGGGAGAACCCAACCCAATCTTCGCACATCATTTTCTCACTCAATTTCATTCGGAATTTTTTGTTAGCTTTTTGGATCATAAAATGTAAGTGCCTTGTAGATTTCTTGTAAAGTTTTTACAACTTTTTTTGCAAGTTTCCAGTCGAATTGTTCGGTTTCTTTTTACTTGCTCATTCTCTTTCTTTTTTATTTTTTACAAGAATCTGTGCTCGTTTAAACTCTCGCCGGGCTGTAAACGCGCATTATCTGGCACACTTAGCGATAAGAGCCAACAAAAATATTTTCATTAGAAAAGTAAAAGACAATGATGAGCACATCGCGGTACTTGGTTGACCCAAATGGTCTAACTGAACGGATCCCTGTGAATAGACAAAAGTCCATTCTTTGCTGAATCCTCAACAAGATAAACATGGTAAATGGTCGGACAGATTGTTGTAACTAATTAGAAGTCTTGACGATTCTAGATAGTGCAATAAAAGCTGAGATAAGGTGTTTTTCTGAAAAAAATGAGCGAGGGAGGGGAAAATTAAGGCTAAAAACAGAAAGGGGATTATTAAAATGCCTAGCAGTTAGCCAAAAGCTTGATATTACTAGCTATATACC